GTTAGGAACAGAATACAGAAACGAGGAATGACAATCGTACCTTGACCTTGTTGTTTGTGGTCTCCGTCAATGACGGGCCTCCTACAGGATGCCCAAGCCAGCGTAAAAAGCCGTCCATTGCAGTCTGGGAAGTTCTCATCCGATGCAGAGTAGTGGAGTCACCAAGTTATCTCAATGGCTTCGCAGTTCAGGGGCGGGACAGGTCAGATAAATAATTCGAGCACCGCAATATCAGCAATTTCTGAAAACAGCATTATGATGCCTGGTGGATTTAATGTGGCCATGGATAAAGGCTCGTCGTCTTGGCATTTGTCGATCTCGCACAAATTCGAACATGCAGCTGGTATTGCCAGAAAGACTTTCCTTCGCAGCAATGACAGCCTATCACACAATGTCGGTCACGAAGTGCCGACTGTCGATCACGACACTAACCAAAACTCTGAGGCGCAAGGGCATGGCAGAGGTCTTTCACAAATCTCTTTACGAAGTATCAAGAAACTCCACCTTCTTCACAAACGCAATAAGTACATCGTTTGCGGATTCCCTTGAATCCCACTCGCTTCGGAACTAGTGGATTCGCACTCGATTACACGCCGAGCATTCCGGACCGAGATCCGTCTCCGATTGCACCAGCTCCTTCCTGTCGCCGCCGTATAAGCCCCCAAGGCCAGAATAATCGTTCTTGGACTTATAGACCCACTGGGGTGTTGTTGCTGTTCTGCTTAGCCAAATCACACCTGCAACGACAAACAATTCTTACCGTCTAATCATGCTCTCCCATGCAATTGGGGCGGATGGTTTGCATTCACCACAGACTTCATCGCCGCGGAATTCGAAAAACGTAACGCAAGGCGGGCATCGTCGTTGAGTCTTCGTGTACACTGGACACCACCGCGACACAATCCACCGGATGTGACCGCAATTTAATTCGCGCTGAGTGTAGTTGCACATCCCCGTCGTGTTCAGCTGGATTGGAATCGATGGCCCCCGAATTGCTGTGAAGGGAGTGTGTGATGCACACCTGTAATATACTGCGCGCGGGGGTGAGATTACCCGCGCGTACGCTCGATCGCCCGCAGATTCATCTTCCTAATGATTGGCTCTCAAGTGGTCTCGAGTTTTGCGCCCTCGCATGGAGCTGGGGAATTGAGCGATGGCGCTGACAGACGATCGCTTCCGAAGAATGCGAACATGCATGCCTCCCACTGTAGAGGATCACATCCTCGAGCGGTTTACCTCGCTATGCGGTGGCCAACAGGGGAGACAAGCAGTGCTCTAGGGCTTCGGGCCGTCTACACCCAAGAGACTGCATAGGCGTGTGTCCTAGCTAATTGTGGAGCAAAAGGCCCTGTCACCACGCAGTGAAGTCAGACAAATCTCGGCCAGAAGAGAAAACGGGGGAAAAGGGCTATTACGAGTGACATCACCCGCTGGGTGGCCATTCTTTACGTCGGCAGAACAACAAACGATTGCCTCAAGCTACGGCTGCTGTTTGGTACAGCGCATCCTACCTGTACGGTGATCTCGGAGCGAGGCCAACTAGATTCCCTTAAGCCCACGTCAATCTGCACGGCCGCCATTGGCCTCCATCACATGGTAAGACCAGAGAGAAGACAACACGAGAATGCGGATCACACCATCCGCAAGTCAGAGGCGGGGCGGCGGACTTGTTCTCTCGTCAGTCGCCCGGCCGTAAGGATTACCTCACTGGGCTCACCACTGTAGCCACTTCGCAACATGGGGTGACGCGATCGACCGTATCTCTGTTGCCCCTTTCCGAGAAGTCGCTGCAGCATGTCTCGCGCCCAAAGCATTCCCACGCCGGTTTTGATTGGGAGCGGAGCCTAGCAGGAAGGAAAGTCTGGTTGAGATGCACTGTTCCATGTCATAACAAACGTTGACTTCTCTATGACGGACCTTGGGGCGTAGGGTCCAGAACGCTCCGGAAGCCCCGGTCTTTCCGTTATCCCTTTCTCGCAATCTGAGCTACAGTGTTGCCATCACTCTGATGAACGAGGAAGGTGCTCCTTGACTCCGGGACCCCCCCCCCCCTGAGCCGCCGCTCTATCGCACCAGACCGCACCAGACAACCTTGTCCCTCAAGGGGGCTGGCCCTTACTCTGATGAAAGTCCCCTCATCCTAGCTCAGGTGGGAGGAATGTAGCGTAAGCCCAGCCAACTCAGGGACGTGAGCGTAGAGGTCGTTCCCAGCCTCCAAGTATCGCCAGCGGGGCTAGACGTGCACCGTTCAAATTTGCGAAGGCCGCGTTCGCCACAGACCCCTGGGTGTAGAGCGTCCATCGGTGGCCCTCCAAGAAGCGTTGCGGAAAGGGCTCGGCATGGCGGGACCTTATCCACCATCACTCTAGTACACATTCTCATCTTGCTTTTGGCATGGTACACATATCTGTAGGTGGGGTTTGCTCTGGAGAGGAAATTCTTGAGAATCCCACCACAGGCTGGACGGCTGGAGGTGGGGCGAACCAGGCTGCAGCATCGCACTCCAGAGGGTGGGATGGTGCTGGTGGTGTGTGAGTAGTCATGGAGGATAGGTTAGGGTGAGACCCATGCCCATTGACATCAGGGCATATACCTGTTGCGCTAACCTTTCCTAGGCAGAGGTCATGACCTCTGCCCAGTAATGTACTAGCGTACTGCCAGTCGCCATGGATTGCACCTTTACAGCGCTAACTGTTTGAGGGCAGAGGTCATGACCTCTGCCCGAGTCAAGACTAGCCTATCTATACATGGCCCATCCCCTGCTCCTGCAGTGCGCTACTGTTGATGACCAAGGCCTTGTTTTCAACCCCTAAACAGGCCCCAGGTACAGATGGTAAAACACACACCCTGCCGTCACATCAGTGTACCCACCCTCAATCACTCCGGAGAGGGGGTTCGATCGGCTCTACTGTGGTACCTGCCATAGTAGTTACTGATGGAGCTGAAAAAACGATCTTCGGGCATGTCCACCCCGCCCTGCTTGGCATAGCAGTCTACCCGTGCTGGTTTGGCCGACGCGTCTGGTCATCTCACCTAGCGGTCCCCCGACTCGGCCTCTGACAGCTGTTGTTCTTCCACCAACACAGTCATTGCCTGCGTACGTGCTTCCTCAGCCCAGTCGTGCAACAGCATTATAGCACAATGAGAGACAGACAAGACAATGCTAGCGTCAGAACACGGCCTGAAGGCTTGCGCAGCAGTGTCAGCTATGACCAACGCGCGTCAGGCGGCAAGATATCTAATCGACGTACAGCACTCGCCGTATCCAGTGTTGCAAGCCTTGCCCCATGGCTGCCTATCCCTTCGAAGTCTTCCCAACAACAAGGCCCTCAATTTAGGAACTTCCGAATTCAAAAGCCCGCAAAAGAAAAAAGAAACCACCTCCAGACCTTCTGCCAGAAAATCCCGCGGACTCTCGAGGCTTGGCAAGAAAAGAGGCGCAATCTTCGTATCACCACTGCAGACGACATTCGGGCATTTTTCTATGACATCATCTCACCAGACGGCCCGTCGTCGTCGACGACACCGGCAGACCTGGACGACGTCAAGAAATACATTACAAGCAAACGCAGGTCCCCAGGCAAAACCGATGACCAGCGAGATGCTTGCCTGTCTACGATGCAGGAACTCGTCTTTTTTGGGGAGTGTCTCGTAGCTTCGGTTCTTGGTGTCGAGCCGGCCGATGTGCACAAGGCCACCAGGCAGTATTATTCGGATCCCTCATATGAAGAATGGAAAGCACGGCGTTATCGGCGTGTGGCGTTCGTGATTTCCAAGTGGATGGGCCAACTATACGAGGATTGCAGTTCTGCCGCCTTTGAGCTATTTCTCCACGGTATGCATCTCAATCTAAGGCCGAAGGAATCACCGCTTACCAGCCGCTTAGTCGGTACTCTGTCCAGCTTCGAGAATTCGGTAAGATCTGATGAGAACAACAAGGCCTTCTCCAGGGTGGTGCGGCCGCTGATACCAACCGAGCTGTGCGTGAAAGACGCTTCGCCTCATCCGCCTCATCTAACGTTCTACCTACCCTTCCTCGTCTGGGCCAGCATCTTCCTCAACGTAAAGGTAGACTGCTTTGATGAAGTCCGCCAAGCATTCCTGTCGGTCAAATTTGTTCACTCCGACTTCGTGCAGTGGCTCTTGTTTCTCGCCGAAGGCCGTCCTGGAGTCCTTGGCCTGGTACAGTCGGCACATGACGCTTGCTCCATTGCGAAGCCCCGTACGCATGACGCAGTCGCATCTAGCCGCACAACAACGGAAACTTTCACAGAAAGCGGCGCATCGCAAGGCTTGAACGTAGAGGTCGGCCAACACCATACCGCGGTCGCTAGTGTCCCACACGACGGAGAGCAAGAGCTCCCGGTGCTACACGATGATATCCCTCTCTCTTCCTCGCAAACAGCCGCCTTTGGACATCCCATACACTTCGATGCTTCTATGCTCGCCATCAACCATGGATTGTACTTCCCGAATGATGCGCAGGCCACAGGCGATGTAGGCACTGCCGTCGATTGCTACGGCTTGGGTCGACCGGTTGAGGGCTCAGCCTGCACCATGGACATGGGATCTCTCGGTGCCGCCGCACTGTCCTCGAATTCGGCGGGCGCGTTGGGCTGTGGTTCCGCTGTGGACTCGGCCTGGTCCATGACGAACATAGGGTCAGAATGCATAGATGGCGTCGAGCTTCGCATCGAGCTGTAAGCAAAAGGGGGTGCCGGGGTCTCTGGCCATATCGTCATAATGATCATGGTTATGCCGCACTCTACAGGGCGTATCGAAACGTTCTCCCGTAACTGATACCCTACGTGAGGACCCCATTCTACACCACGTGCCGTGTCTATATTATTTCTAGATATAAAATCAACAGTGGTGCGAAGTTCCCCGATCGGAATGAGAATATCCGTTGCACCCGGGCGAGTCGTGATAGTCTGGCCGGCCTCGAGCAACACCGCTCGTTGTCTTGATCGCACGTATTTGCACCGGAGCAGTGACTTCAGCGTGTCTCTCTCTCCGTCATTCTATTAGCCTTGCGTCTTCGTGAAGAATAGATCTACCCACACGTTGATCCAATACTAGCTTGCACGGTTCGCCAAGCGGTGGTCGCCATTCATAAACTAGGCCTCTTGCGCCTGACTGAATTCCGTGTTCATCGGTCCGCCGCCGAAAAGATTTTCCGTCGATGAGAGCGTCTTTCGACTTGATCGCGAAGCCGCGTACCTCGTCGCTCAACGTGAAGGATTCAAAGTTTTTGCCATCCATTTCGAATACGAACAGTCGGAGCAGGGCGACTTCCTTGGCCGCGACGTCGGGCGTGGAGATTCGGGTGTTTCGGCGGGGAAGAAAGTTAGCATCTGGACGGGCAGGGGCCAGTCAGGCTCAAGATGAAGTCGGGAGCGGATAAACCCTAGTCCGGCACTGACGCTCCTTAAAACAACAACGGCGGTAAGCATTACACACGAAAGCGAGGGAATCAGTGATATTATGTGCATCCCGAACCGAACGAACAGCCACTCCGAGCGTCGAGCCTCTCTACGTTGCAGGCGTCGATAATACGACGAAAAAGACGAGACGATAAGAAACAGCTTTAAACTTACTTTCAGGCCGAACCGCGTTCTACCTTGCGAGTACCCGTGGGCGAGCTCCTTCAGCGATGAGACATACTTCGCGGATCGGAAAGTAGACCAGGTCTGCTACGACCGATGGCGACACAAGTAGCCAGGCGCTTGGCGGCGGCATTGTGGCTCTGGATACCATCGATGCCTTTGACGGGGACAGACACGGTTGTTTTCGACGGGCATTCGGGCATGCGCCGGTTCCCTGAGCTTTTAATCCGTCAAGTTCCTCGACGAAGTAACCAGGACAGTCTTGTGCATACCACTCGCAAGTACGTATGGAGCGATGTGTCGAAGGAGGAGAGGTCCGTGGGACGCGAAGACTCTGTACCGGCACCGGTTATGAAGCTACGCAGATATACAACTTTAGCGATGGAAGGAAATGACTTTTTAGGTAGGATAATTCAGGCACGAAGCTACTCAGTAATGAATCTTTGCCACTGCTTAAGCTACATGAAACACCCAGGATCCGCCCCATCAGTTGCTTGCTCGGCCTTTTCCTCCCATTCAAAGGCCAGGGCTACATTGCGACATGCAAGTCACAGCACGGCACGTAAGTCACCCGTTCTTCTGCGTCCACAACAGGACCCAAAAGTTATCTTTGCTGTCTTTCCCAACCATCCTTATAACTTCTTCCAAGTCGAAAACAAAATGAAAGTCTAATGGGGGGTTAGCAGCAGTATCACCACTTTCCGTATTGTAGGTCAACCTTCGGATTCTTCCAGCTTACAACTCAATGACATCTTCCTTGCCACCAATATCACCAGACGATATGTCCGTGGACGGATCTACTCCGGACATCTTGCAGTCTCTGATGATGGTGACAAAAGCTCGGTTTTCTGGAAATCCGGCTTATGTTGATGGTATAGAATTCAAGAAGTGGATGGTGCAGTCGTATGGATGTTCGCAGATCCAGACAATTGACCGATCTTTTATGCCTGAGCCTATGTATTGAAAGCACAAGACGATGTTCAATACAAGAAAAGCCGTCGTCTGCATCACACGGCTCGATGCAATGGGCGGCCGTCAAACCTGGCCGCAGCATGTTGCAGGAGGCGTCGTGCCAACCCCTGTAATCCTGTACGCCGCCAGCGTGGGAAGATCGCCCAGCAAGACCATGAGGTCTATGTGTCTCTCCGGGAAAGGGTATTGGTTCGATTCAGGGGCCGAGGAGGAACAGCTGGGGATTGAGGTTGGCCGTTCCGTATGGAGAATGACAGCGCATAACAACGTCGACAGTGCGGCTGGTTTCCACGGGGGCTTTCACAGATACGACCATGACTTGCGTCTGGGTGGCCAACAGCTTTGAATCCTGGATAGTACAGTCGGAGTCAGTCATGACTGTTTGTCGCTTGCTTTGAACACGTCAGTAACATGACCGAGGCTCGCATTTGAGTCGCTATTCTATTTGACTAAGAAATTTACCGTATCTCTATACGAACACAGGGGTCTTTGAAGAGGTCACCTTCTAACTCGCCCGGGTTTGTAGACAGTATGAGCTCAAAGAGCACGTCAATGACTTGAAGCTATTACGATAAACAGAAATACCTAGGTTGATACCGTGGAACAAAGCAGACCCATGCTTGAAGAACTACCAAGGCCTCGTTTAGCACGGCGAAGACCTGAGGTACTTTTTACTACTACCAGCGACGTTGTCCGCCTGTCCTCGCGACTCAAGGACACCGAATACCGATACTCACATGGTTTGCCGGCCTGTGATGTGTATTGCATTGCCGCCCGTGAACGTAACCGTCCGCTGACTTCGAGCGACTGCGCATACAAAGTCGCCAAAACATCTAGTACAATCATTGGCGAGGCCTCATCATGCCCAGTCTAGAGGTAATCTACAGGGGAAATTGGCAATTGGCCTCTCATGCGGCCAGATTGTCATGATATGGAGACTTACCCTAGTCAGTGGCGCGCCGCTGATGATAGCTACTATATCATCGGAGAAAAGGCGTACTAGGTGTTTGATCAGAGACAGGTATTGAAATACCACATATTGCTGGTATCTTTAATTAATAACGATGGTCATCGTTGACAAGCTGAGCTTTGCAACAGCTGGAACATGGACGAAATGGCATGGATATTTCTTAGTCATATTTTGGGTATCTTGCAATTTCTGCATCGTTACAGGTTTTGCAAGGGCGCAAAGATTGCGATGTGAAGTCTTTAATGATGCAAATCTTGCAATGATGTCAAGTTTGCATGGCTGCAAAATCTGCACGCGTGCAAAATCTGCATGGCTGCAAAATCTGCACGCGTGCAAAATCTGCATGCGTGCAAAATTTACATGGCTGCAAAATCTGCACGCGTGCAAAATCTGCATGGCTGCAAAATCTGCATGGCTGCAAAATCTGCATGGCTGCATGGATGCAGCCTTTGTGCCGTTCCAGATCCTGCGCCGTTCCAGATGCTTCGCAGTTGCAAAATTTACACGGTTGCAAAATTTGCATGACTGCAAAGTCTGCACGGTTGCAAAATCTGCACGGTTGCAAAATCTGCACGGTTGCAAAATCTACACCACTGCAAATTCAGCAATCCAAACCACCTTCACCATGGAACCTTGGCGACTGCAGGCTGTTGCTACGCTCGAAATCAGTGAAGAGGGCCGACCCCGTCCCATGTCTAAGTTCGTCATGGATAATCGAGACAGCATCTTTAGGTTGCTCTCATTTGATGAATGCGCAGCCATTGCTCTGTATGTCAAGAAACACAGATTCGATACGCTACGCCTTGAAGGCGAAGACTCTCCTCTACAGGACGAACGTGATGTGGTGATCAAAGCGCTGGCCACGCGTGCTGTTGAGCGATTCAGCAATGATGCGATGTTGAAGGGCTTATACAAAATGACATCTCCGCTGCAACCGATGCATCGATGTCGTGTCCTGCTCGGTAAGCCTTGTTTTTAAAACATCACCACAGATTAACAACTTTCTGATTTTGTTGACGTGACAGAAGCGGCACTACACTATGCAAAGTATCTCCATAGCGAAAAAGAAAAGAAAGAATGGCAGAAACTTTGCAGCAAACAGCTGGCTACGTTGCAACCAACCGATGCGACCACCAGCGCTGAATCGCGCAAGAGGAGACCTGAAGAAGATCTCGCCGCTCATAAGCGGTCGAAGAAAAGACGAGGAGAAATTGCACAACCCTTAGCTGCAAAAATGGCGGATATCCAGGCGATCCCTAATTTCATCGGCACATTTCTCTTCGTCGGACTCACGAGATCCAACGTACGGCAAAAGGATGTTCTTGCTGCGATGACTGCAGCGTTCGAGATGCATTTTGCTTCACAAGAGTTCCAAGACTTCACCCTGCTGTTAACCGTCGACAAGAGCATCGGCGAAATTCTGCGAGAGCCGCTTTCGGGGTCACTCGATAAGTTGGAGATTTATTTGGGCCGGTGGCTTATTGACGCTGTGAGGGCTGCTAGAGATGGCGACAACCGGTATCTCTACCCACACGACAACAATGAAGACATGATACTTGAACTAGGATTAGGCTTTCAACATGGAAGAGAGATGGCTCATGTAGTTTTTCCAATGCGGTAGAATATACGCAATATCTCTGCTAAGTCTTCTTGTACCAGACACTTTGAAGAACCACCTGCTCGCCAGCTTCAACTACAACATTTCCATCCTCCGTTGTGTTGTTCAACGTCTCCAATGATGTAACCCCTTTGCGAATCCTAACATCCTCGCCGCCCGACCAATGCAACGTGTAAGAATCGTTCTGCGCCATGATGGTGTGGTAGCTTGTGAAGGTGTACCCCTTCTCCTGAAGCTTGGTCTATGTTGGGACTTAGTTAGCAAGCCCTACAATCATGTGAACGCAGTTGCGGCGGTACAAACCTCGTTCATCATCCCAAATCACCTGGAGAACAAAGCGTGCTTGATCGTGTCGATAAATGAAGACGAAGGTTGCTGAGATAGCAAATGATATATTTCGCGCCCGTCCAAAGCCGTTGTTTTATGGGCCCGTTTCGTAAGGCTTGCTGGTGTACGGGCGTTGGGCACCCATGCTTGCTACTCGTTAGCGAACCAAGTAGCTAGTCACGAGACAAGGTAAAGACACAGGATAGGCAACGTCTTGATCGTCTGCCGCCGTCTGTAACACCTACTTTTCTTTGGATTGCTGAAGGCTTCAGTAGTATAACAGGCGAATTTGAATGTTTTGCAAGATGAGGGGTTAACAATACCCCGACTTTCTCCGTAGTGAGGGGTTTTTCGGAAACGGGGCTATATATCATCCGGTCAAATATCCCGACAGCACGGAGCACCAGAGTGACAGGATGTAGGATACCCTCGCTTAGAAAAGACCCACTACATACAGTTAACACCCCGTTAACTGCATACTCCAGCCGCTTTGCCCCACAAGGGATGTGTCAGACGACAGCTTGGCAGCTAGCAATAATTTGCATATTGGTCGAGATATCGTTGTTGTTGTTGTTGTTGTGGATGTTGACACATCTTTCTAATCTTAAACAAGAAACAGAAAGGTTTTCAAGACCTCAATGCCTATATCTCTCATCGCAATAGGGAATTGAGCATGGGTTGGATGCATGACTCGAATATGCAATGTCCAGGTCTGACAAGATGGATGCCACTCGTTTATATAGGTCTGCTATGGGCCCGGCAGCTTACTCTAAGCATTTCAACCACATTCAAGACGGTGCCTTGACAACATGACAGGCGTGCTAGACACATTCGAAGACAAAGCCGCCCACAGTTCCCAACGCCAGCCTTCCGAAGAAGGGCCTTCCGAAGAAGGAAGAAAGACGCTGGTCAATCGCCAAATGCGTAACCTCTACCGACATCGTCTCGGAAGCCATCAAGAAGGCACCTGAATCATACACAAGTATCGATCGTGTTGCAGAGAATGGACAGGTCAAGCCAGAACTCACATAGCTCAGTATTAATGATGAAATAGGCACTAGAAAACATCTCTGATTCAATTTTAGCTCGAGGCCGATTACATAGCTTTTGCTCTTACACCCTCGTCGATAGTCGCGGAAGTTCTGGACACCCCTAACGCGAAGAAATTTGTCTGCGACATCTATAACTAGGTGTTGCAAAATTTTTCATAAGAGCACTTAACTTGATTCCCATGAACGTGTGCATACGGGGGAGAAGCCATACGTGAGTATTCAGTGAATGGAGGCGGCTTGAGAGGCGCTAACAACTTTTAGCCATAGTATTTACGCAGCGCGGTGGGCCATTGCAACAAGAAGTTCAAGCAGAGAGAAAATTCAAGTTCAGTGACTCAATTTTGTATAGACTACTCAGCTAACATATCGCATCGCAGAATCATCTCAACAAGCACCACGAGTAGAATCTGGCGGAGTTAAACCGCTTGATAATCTCCGCCTGCGATGTTGATGACTTGTCTGAAGACCGACGTGTAATACGCCCTTACTTCGCGGGCATATCTAAGAATAGGATCAAGGATATCAAGGGTCGCGGCAAAGACCGCGAAGACTAGAACGCCACCTTCCTATCGACATATCGAACAGTTCCCTATATCTGCCAGCCTGGCAGCATACAGCTTGGAGAAAGCTTGTTCAAACAGAGCAGCTGCAGCGCTACTGTTCACGGGGCTACTACAATTTTGACCACAAAGACATGGCCTTGTTGTCGAATGAAAGCAGCGATAGCCACAATATGGCTTTCGCGAGCCACGACAGCTTGTATTGGCAGACATCTTACGCGATGCACGCACAATGGGTTTGTATGCTTGCATTGGTCGGCTTCGAAGACTGTCTGGCTGTTTTGTGCCATAACGGCTGCCAATTGCTCTGGACGTCTGGATCGGATCGCAGGATGGCAGGACACGGATGCAGGGCCACGAACAGTGAGAAGCTAGAGTCAAGTTTATTCCCATATTAGAATACAGTTCTTCCTACCTTCAATGTAGCCTGTGATGTGACCACAGCCCCAAGGACGCAGAGTAACGTACGTTTGTTGACATTACGTATGAAATGCACCTCCAGCCCCCTTCAACCCCCGCATCGATAGCCGGGTGTTCCCTGCGATGATGTCGAGCGAGTTGGAAAGTACTCCATAGAGCAACATCCATCGTCCTTGGCGCGCTTTTCACCGCCGCTTGGTGGCCGAAAATCTTGGTTGAATGGTGTTGGCTAAGGTGGCCGATCGTCGTGTCGGATATTGTGCTCTATGCAGCTCACTGTCTGCGGGCTGGAGTCCGGTCTGAGACCCTGGAGGGCTGATTACTTCCAAGGTTTATGCAAGGGCCGCCAGCGCTGTCACTAGCCAGCCCCAAAAGTCCGTGCCTCGGGTACGGATGGTCGTAGCTCGAACAAGTTGTGGACACCAGGCGGCTCCCTCACGCCCCTGCTGAACTACACCCTATGGCGTCTTTCGAGCCAGAAGTATCGCGCCGTTTTGTTGCGCTGAGCTTGTGGCCACCCCCGGGGCCCCACCGAGTCCTTTCCCGCCAGGGACACCAGACGGTACAAGCCGCAACGTCCGGGCCTCGATCAGAGGGGGCAGACGGACGAGTCAGCGCACAGTCGTCCACTAACCGGATCAGGATGTCGTTCGCGGGCCAATCACATCTGCCGCAGCCAACTTCATCACCTCATTATACACTAGACTGGAGGTGCTCGACGCGATGGGGAAGACGGGTTTCGATGGCTGAAGGGGGACTGCCGATGCTCTTAGAGGCGCCGAGGGTTCTCGGGGACGCATAAGTTTCCGATGTAGATAGGGCATGAGCCAGGCCATTGTCCCGAGAGACTAACGTACAAGGCATGGGGGCTTCTTCTCTCAACTCGCGTAGTGCTCAGTTGGATTTGTGCTTTCCAGCGTCAGCATCGCCCGGAGAGCATTACAGCCAGTGCTGCCATGGTAGGAGCATACGGTCTAGAGGAACCATTAGATCTTCCGTAGCATGCACGTATGTCAGGAGTGGGTGCAATGTTCTTGACGAAAAACCCTCGTTTGTTCCTGATTGACCCGGGGCATGGCAAGATTATAGGAGCCGATCCGTGGTAGGGATCTCGAGACAGGAAATGCTCGTATTGCCAATTCTCCAACAACGCCGCCGCCGCCACCAAAGTAAAGTTTAATCCCCCCCGTCAGGAGATATGTCTCAGGACTTCAATCACACTGCACTGAGTGTAAGGCCGGCCGTCCTCCGAGTACCGTTCCTGCCGGGGTTTATAAGACGTGACGGTCCCCGAGTTCTCCACGTTGGCAGTGGTCGACTATCTGAAGAATCCATTGAAATTGAGTCAACAACACGAACATCATGTCTGAGCCCAGCTTTACCTCTGCGAACACCGTCGCTCCAGCGGCCACCGGGAACCTGGTCTACCCTCACTACGTTGTGTTTGGTGTTGGCTATGGCGTTTCCACTCTCCTCGTTCTTTTGCGGCTTTACCACAGGAACCATAATGGAAATCTCAAGCTAAGCGACAGTAAGTGATCGCGCAGCCGAAGGATGTATAGCAGAAAAGCATAACTGACGTACTTTACCCAGTGTTGGCGGCCTTCTCCTGGGTAAGTAAGAGATAGGAGTTCACGTTCATCATATCAAGGGCTGATTCCGGCACACCAGGCTTTTTCGTCCGTTATGCAGATCCTGATGATAGGCAAGTATACCCCCTTAGTGACAGGGCGAAGAAAAAGTGCTAACAAGGCCGACGTAGTCGCGATATCCATGGGTACCATGTGCTTCCCGCGAGCATCCATTCCAGACGATCGAT